TTTTTCAAAAATTGACGTTTACGGGACATCCGCAAAAATCCTAGGGAATTAAGTCGTTATGGTTTTTTTTTTTTACCACAATTAAAGAGTATCTCATTGTAAGGGTTTAACAAGGCTTGATAAGTGCCCTCGATATTATTACGGAGCGTGCATACAGTTGGAGAGACGTGTTAACACGTCTCTCCAACTTGATTTTTGCGGAGGTCCCTTAAACGTCAACTTTTGAGAAAGTTTTTTTTTTTTATTATGAGCGCATCATCTAACTAAAACCAAACCGGAGTTAAAATGTGTCCCAAAGTCTCCTTGATAACATATCAAAAGCTCGTTTTAGTTAGACGATGCGCTCGGTGTCAAAAAAGCTTTGGAGTGATACAAAAACACGAATTTTCGCTGAAATTCGCCTGCAGACCTATGTTTAGGCAACCGTTTAACACGTATCCAGTGGCCTAGGGGCTAAATCATGATTATTTCCGTAAACTAAAGTCAGTCAACTTGGACAACCCGCATACATTTCCAGATTCTAGGAGGGGACCAAAAAAGGCCCTTATCGATACCCCTCCTTTCAAATTTCCCATGTAACTTTCTGACATTTTACACCTACCTACATAACGTGTTGTGTTAGAGTCGATTTGAAAAATTTGGTTGCAATGCAGGTGTAGGATAACAAATTCTATAACGTTCAATTTTGTATTGCATACATTTCTGTCTTGGACTAATTACTGCGGGTCGGACAACTGTTGATTAAGCAAGATTCACCAACAATTTATTGGACGAGTACTGCAAATGCGAGCTTGTGAAAAATCAGAATATTAAACGAAATATGCTATTTGTTACATAAAATGAATGAGGGAAGTAACGGAATAATTGTTTTCAATGAGGCTCTCACATAGAAGGAGTTGCAGGAGATTGAGGAGACTTTTCAGACATAGTATGACATGAAAACCGAATCGAGCAACTAGGGAACTTTAGACTTTCTCCTTTTCTCTTGGTGAGACGATGGTGCCTATTTAGCGCAATTTATTTTTTCAGATGCTCATTAGATCGGAAGAGAAGGAATATGAAATTCTCCCTGGTTTGAGCACGAGGACGGATAGTAAATGTCTGAATTGCATGATAAAATGCATGCAGAAGAGGAAGGACAAAACTTTCAAAAGCTGTTTAGAATTCGTTTGCCCTCTGTCCTGTGAAAGCGCAATACTCATCGCTCAATAAATTCTTTGCCTGGATTTCGATCGTTAGCACACGATAATCGGTCATGGTCAAGTGACGTCTTCACGCCGGAATGACCATCAATGAGCCGTCCCACGTTTTTAGCCTCGACTCTTTACCATTCTCATCGTGATTTACAAAAATGTGCCGCCCCTCAAACCAAATACTTCCTTCAGTATGTTGAAGTCAATTTTCACAACATAACATCTTCCAAAATCTAATTGGGCTGTTACCTATAAGTTTGTGTATTTATCATTTCCTTGTTGTTCGTTTTTCTTTGATGGAACCGATTTGTAATTTAATAAACAAGGAGATATATCCAACATGAATATGCTGGATATATCCTCTTGTTTATTTTCATAAAAATTGTATTTTCCGAGATGCGCATTGCTGTAGTTTCTCCATCGATACAAATGACATTTGTGAAAAGGGACCTTATCTCCCGAGAGCATATCGTCTAGGAGAGTCGAATATACGGGAAAAGCTTAAAATTGGCAGTTTTGAGTTACCGATGGCATTAAATTCACCCCAGAAGCCTTGAAAATAAGCTCTGCACGGTTTTAATTTGCTTTTCTCACCAGTGACGGCGATAGCTACCCCTTTTTTGTGGCATGTCAGAATTGTTCACCTTAACTGAACCTAAAAATGTTAACCTAAACTTTTTCTTCTTCTGTGTGTCTTATGGCTCATCTAATTGTCGTACCTACAGCAAACCATAGATCGCATGGGTTTCATACGGGGACACTAAGGGTCATCTACTGCAACAGCCATGTGCTATCCACACATGAGGGCCATGAGAGGCTATGTTGGATCCAGGAAACAGTGCGGGTCAGGGTAGAGGGGGAAAACGGTGCAAAGGGTAGTATAATAATAGAAAAAGGAGGTAAAAGGAAGAAATAAAATTGGTGGAAAAGGATATACTTGAGAAGAATTTTAACAATGGCCTAATGTAACATCACGGAGCTTATGAGTAGTCGAGCAGCGCGACCTGTACGGAATTTTGGAGGGGGCATACACACGACTCTAGAACTTGAAGTAAGTAAGTAAGGCCGAACTGACCGGCGAGGCGCCCTTAAGGGGCCAAGGTAACTGGCAGCTGCCATCGTGCACCCCGAAGTTGGACTGTGCTCCTTAACCTCAAATCATTGATCAATTTTGTATCCGCTATATTCCCGCAAAGCTCAGCGGCCGTCTGATACAAAGACATAAAGACGGAGTGCTCGTATCTAAAAGCACGGGGAAAAAGTGAAGCCTGGTTTGGCGCTGGGTGCTTGTATGAGTGTGTAAATGAGCGTGGGAATCCATGGCGGCAAACGGAAATTTGATTTGAACTTGTCCTCTGAATTTTTCCATATTTCTTCTTCGAAACGTATTTTAAATGCCTAAAACGAATATATTAAGAAAGTTGGGACTGCGTCCTATTATATTACACCTACTCTTGCTTGGTAATAGGCAGTAATCTCAGATAAAGTTAGTTTTTCTTCTGCTCATGGTGGTTCTGCAGGTTCAAACAGGTCGTTACAGTTCTAGATGACCGTCACTCCCAAATGAAATTTAATCGGTCGACGACGGACCAAAGCTAACCTAAAGTTAAAGAAATATGAGTGGGTAAGTGAATTTGGGCAAAAATCAACATAGAATACTTTGTTTCCGCAATTATTTTATTCAGTTCCCGCCCTACATTTGAATTCAAACTTGTCCCGATTTCGCCGCCAATCCTCTAGCCAATAGTAGAGGTGGTTGAAAAGAAGCTTCATTTTTTGCTTTTAGCCCTCCGTCTTTATGTCTTTGGTCTGATAGCTAACGATAGGTCTTATCAAAGACTGTGACAGACCCTGAAAAGCACGGATTTTCGGAGCACGACCATGCTTCCACCGAGTTGGATTGTGTCGTTGCAATCTCCACTGACAGGTAGCGCTGACAGTCACGCACACCACCAGTCTGCCGTGATAGCGAAGAGAGCCGTAAGTGCAAAAATGAAGTTTTGAGGAAACGGGCTCAGAAGCTTCTGATAAGATCATTTTATTGAAAGAAGCCTCCGTTCTTTGTCAAATTGTCACTAATCGTCCGGAGGACTCCTAGAAATCGTATGGATGATTCAAAATCGACTGATTTTATTTCCATTTCAAAAAAATGGTATTTTTCGTTTTCATGCTAGGTTATTGTTAGGCAAGACAGCCGTAAGTGCTATCTTCTGCATGCTTTCGTGGTTGCGTTTTGGACGCACAACAAACACATATGCAGGTTACAAATTGGCAGAAGAGGGCGGCACTTTACTGGAAAGCACTATTTTCATTGGCTCTCATGCATCTACGGCTGTCTTGAAAAAAAACTGTGTCATTTTTTGTGCACTTTCGGCTTTTACATACGTCTCGTTTTCATTAAATTAGGATGAATCATGCTGTTTAAGCTGTGTCAGTAATTTCATCTAAAAGATTTTATACGAATTTTGAAGAAAACTCGATTTCGAAAATGTTGCACTTACGGCTCTCTTCGCTATGACGGCAGCAGTGATCACCGATTTTTTTCACAACGCAGTCGAACAGTGGAGACGGATTACTTACTGGGTGACTATGTCCCTCCCGCACCCTGTTACCTCGAAGGGTCAGGGTATTGGAGTGGCATAGTCATCCACGGTCACGATGACTGATGTTTGAGTGTCTTCAAAAATCAGTCATCTCCGAGGATTCAACCCGGGACCTCAGTGTTGACAGCCAACTGCCTTGACCACTACACCACTGAGGCTGCCTTCACTGGAACCTAAAACTCACGAGTGTGGGCCTGCGAACTTCAATACGCTATATATCTCCCTTTGCTTTTGCTCCCGGTGCTTTTAGTGTCATACCTGAGTCAAAATTTGAAGATTTTTTACCTCTATACAGTAATGCCAATAACTTAATTTTGAATATCCCATCCCACCTATAATAGTTACCCGACCTATGTCATCAATTCTTCCGTTCACGATAACTACCGTTAGATTTACGTTTAGCTGATTCAAATTTTGTAATTTTGTCCATTTTGGTCTGATAAAAAACTGTATAGATTTTCGGTTAAATCGCATTTACCGATTACTTATAAACAGTAATTAACGTAAGTGCCCTACATACGCTGTTTTCTACTAATCTGTTTTTATGAAAGTTCCATTCCTTGCTTTCCTTTGTAACCTTTGTTTGCTATCAGCTGATGTTTTTTTTTTTTCAATTTCTTTTTTTCATTTTTTTTTGTTAATAAATCATTGCTAGGTTAGTTTAAATTTTTTTTGTCAGCATTTATTCTACCCCCCTCCCCCCCAGCTCATTTTTCTAGCTCCATCACCCTCTCCCCTCAACTCATTTTTCTATCGATTTTATCATTCTTTTATGGCATGTCTTGCTCCCCTACCACCATTTTTTCGGGGTTATAGATATTTTAGCGGTCTCTAGACCCGTGACTCCAGTCACGGGCATTTCGCTAGTTTCAAAATAATAGTCCGTTTTGTCTACAGATCGTGTCACATGTCGACGGTGAAACTCCCAAACCCCGTATCTCAGTTAGCGACGTTGCAGCTTTTCTGTCATTCTTAATTTTTCAAGTGCGGAACTAGTCACTTAACAGAATTATTTAGAAACTACCGGATTTTTTCCTCTCAGTGTGGAGAAAACGATGAAAAGACTTAAAAGACTGATCTTGATTTATTTTCTTATAAGAAAATAAAATAAGAGCGGGGATTTCAAAACACCACGAGATACGTGGTGCTGGAGTTTTGCCGAGGATATGGCCTTTGTGCAGAACTTTGCCTGTTGTGGACTAACCTTAGCGTTGCCAACGGCATGGGCACCATCGTAGACGTAAAGATGGTCGTTGCAGTCAAGCTGGAGAAGATCGAAGCGGAGCATGAATCTCTGAAGGACGGAATGCGTTTGAAAGGTGATGACGCAGTCCAAGTTTCTTTCGTTCTGCGAGTGCAACACCGCCCCGTCGATCTTCCGGTACAGGTTCTGCAAGAAACTATTCTCGCACAACGAGCTGATTGAGTCTGAAACAAACACAAACAGAAACCATCGCGTCAGTTGATTATTTTTGTCGATGGACCACTGGATATACGAAAAATAAACGAAGCATCACTCCATACAGCGTGATCCAAAGTTCAACCGCCATACTGCAGGAGCGTGTTCTATGGGTCAAAATTAAACTTCCTCTCCCGTAAAATTTGTTCGAAAAGCGTTTTTCACGGCAGCTACATCCCGAAAATCTTCGAAAATGAATTAATTTTGACCGCAATTTGGCAAAAGTCATGCACTAAATCAGGGCCAAATTTAGAGCGTGGCCGCATGGGCTCCGGCCCATGGCGGCAAAGGGGGGCAGCAATTTTGCAATTTTTTTAAATGTATGTATTAAGAAAATCGGAATTAGAAAAAAATTACAAAGGAGAAAAGGCGACAAAATCTCTTATTTCCTATGATTATAGTAATTTCTAATTTTGCCATCTTTCGGCGATACAAGAGGCAGCACCTTTAATTAGTCGAGTTAAGAGAGAAACCAAACTCCCAACTTGGCATGGAACGGCGCGACGTGGAGAGCAATGATGACGAGGACTTGAGATGAAAAGGAGTGGCTCTCGGCGCGGCGGTCAGCGTGTAGCACATATTAGCACCTACAAGACTGCATGAATACTTCACGCATTGCATCAAACACAGCGCGGTCAGCAGCAGTCGGCGTGAAACGCATAGCGCCTACAAGACTGTAGGAATACTTCACGCATTCCGCCAAATACAGTGCGGTCAGCGCGGCGGCGGAAGTGAAAATGATTAAACCATATTTATGTTTGTTCTTTCATAATTTTTTCGCTAAATACTTAGAAATGGACGTATTTATGCGAAAAGGAGATATGTGGAAGTGGATGGATGGGGTGTGCTCGTTAGTGGTCGGGCCATAAGAATGAATGGGGAATATAAAGCGCCAGTGACGTCAGCGGTGAGTGCGGTGACGGTTTCGGGATCGGGATCGTCGTCCGGCTTCTTTAACTCATGAGCCCTGTCCACAACGCTCTCTTGCCATGCCCGCGGCTCATGACTTAGCATATTTTGGCGCTTAGCTCCTTTTGATTTAATGTCAAATCCCGCTTTTCAATTTTCTCAAAAGGAGCTATATCCACTTTTACATTGTTTCTTATGACCCAACTAACGAGCACACCTCATCTTTCCACTTGCACATATCTCCTTTTAGCATAAATACGTCCAAATGGAAGGTCTTGTCCACACTGAGATAGGTTTACGGAACTTAACTTTCCCGCGAGGCTCCGTGAACTTTTGCTGGTAGTGTTGACAGGGCTTTTGCAAAAAATGTGTCCAACACGATTAAACGTTTCTTATGCACCCCTCCCCCTCCAGCACGTTCACTTGATGGTTTTTATGGAAGTTTCAGAACGAATGAGAAGGGGGCGGCAAAATACAGGCAGCCCATGGGCGGCAAGAATGTAAATCTGGCCCTGCACTAAATCTTATAGAAATCGGCATGAACCTATAATTTGATACACTAAATTCATCCCTGACGTTTGAAAAATCAAAACCTCATTTTAAAGTGGAGTTTAGGAGGAGAGAAGGAGCTTTAGACTCAAAACAGTTTTTGGCGTATAAAGGTGGTATTTTCCGGATCCTCTGAATCCGGACTTGTCATTAAGAATTTGAATTCTTTAACGTCGTTAATGACTTTAGTGAATCAAATTGTGCATACCAAATTATGTTGAAAACATAATTCCGTCCAATTATCTTGATTTTAAGCTGATGCACGGCAGTTTTCCACAAATCGCGTTCGTGCGCGAATACCGCATATCAGCTTAAAATCAAGATAATTGAACGAAATATTTAAAATTAATTTTCCTTCAACGTTCATGAATCAATTTTTTCTCCTAAATGTAGCAAAAAGTACCAATTGATACAAATAGCAAGGATATGAAAATAGTAGGTATATTTCCAACATTTCAGTAATCTGGCACGTTTTTCCAACGTATTCATGTTGGATTTTTCTTCTTGTTTTAAGTTAATTTTCTTACATGTAAGAGGCGCGGAGCGCCTGAGGGATTGGGCCGCAAAGAGGCCAGGGGGCGCACCCTCTAGTTCCTTTTTTTCTATCTTCCATACTATAAGCTCCGAGACCTCCTAAATTTGCATATCTGGTAACGCTTAGTTCAAGCGTTTTACAGGGCCGATTTTTATGATTTTGGCGGCTATCGACAGGCAACTGTCTCTAGGCGAACCTATTCTATTCAAATTTTGGAAATATGACCTAGGTTTTTTTTTTTCATATTACGCGGTAAAGTTGCGAATTTTTCCATTTAAACAATGTAAATTTTTATTTTTTGTCACAATTTGTTTGAGTCTTCTACTCGGCCGATTTACATGATTTATTTTCTTTATTTTTTGTTATTTTTATTTGTTATTTTTTTTTTTGTTTGTGACCTTTTTAATGCAGAGATTACAGAGAAGATAAATAATATCGAAAGAGTAAAGAAGCAATGAGTTTTCAAGACAGAAAAAATCGACGTTTCTAGAGTAGAGACGGACTACAAACTAAATAGTAAAAAACAATTAACCCTAAAGTCTGCCAAACACGGGTCATTTTTGACCCGACGCTTCGTAAAAGAAGGCCCATTTTTCACCCTCTGCCCCTGGATACTTTACCTTCACAAATAGCTCTGCAAAAACATTGTGCTGCTCAGCCATCCTCGAATCAGTTCGCTTGCTTCTGCTTATGTATGCATATTTTAAATCAGCGCTGAGCATTCTTAGGCTTTTTTTAAAAAAAACCAAGTAACGTAGACTCTTGGTATTCATTGCACATAAACTAGAAAGCCCCAGAATGAGAAAAAACATACATCATAATTATTGACGGATAAGTAAACTTTTTACACGCTTTGGAAAATCTCAGAAGTTCGCGGTAGTCACTTTCCGGTAAAGAACTAAGGGACTCGGTCATTGTATCGAGTGGGGGGTCGAGAAGATCGCAAAGGCGGTATACTACTTATACGCGCCAACAGGGGTTGATACGATGGCTCAAATGGTCAGGTGCTATACGGCCAGACGACCGACGCGACGGTGGCCATTTGTGTTTCTTATGAATATGTTGAATGTTGGCTAATCTAAACTTTGGAAGAAAAAGAAAATATTAGGCATATAAGTCTAATTGTAGGTTTCCCTGATGTAAAAATCATTTAAAATACGTGCATGCATTAAAAAAACTAATAAAAAAAGAAGATCCTGTGTTTTTTAAATACGGGTCTAAACTGACCCGGTATCGGCAAACTAGTGGAAAAAACGTGTTTGGCAGACTAAGGTTAGAGAATAGCAGGTTCAGGTGGCCCCAAGAGCCAAGGTCACGCCGGAGCTACCCTGTGATATACCATCGGCACGGTGGAGGTTGTCTTGTATAGGTGGGGACATTATACCAGATGTGGTTGTGAAGACGTGCTCTACAAAAGAAGGGATTTTGGCCCAGTTTTGGGGAGGTGTTAAGAAGGAGCTTTTGGACTGACCAGTAACCATAAAGTGAGCTGGGAACCCAATTACATGATTTTGTGGCATTTGACAGGCGATAGTTCCTAGATAAACCGGCTGTAAGCAGATTTTGGATAAAGTACCCGGGGTTTTTTTTTTTTTTTTTGTCCGAATGTAGACCAGGGAGCGTACAAGGGGGGAGGGGCAAAATTTGAAATTCTCGGCAATGAAAAACGAAGGGAATTTCATTTAGCAGAAAATTGAACTAAGCGGGAAATGGTCAATCTTTGTCTGATGTTGGTAGGGTAAGGTGAGGGAATTGAAGGTATGCTTCTTTTCTACGGACTAACTATCCAAAAGCGACGAAACGCTTCATTCCGTCGTTCCATTTCGTTTCAGTCTTGGCGTGAAGGTTGAAATATATGCCGATTGGTTTATTCGATTCTTATTGGTCCAATCTCTCCCGGCCAGAAGGAGATTGAACAAATAAGAGTCGAGTATGAACATCGTTTCATTTTATTTGGTCGTTCTCATGTGGAAGCGGACCTAACAGAGCACGAAGCGCCCTCTGAGGGTAGGGCCGCGTAGCGGCCAGGCACATTGCCCCCTAGTATGTGATAAAAAAAAATGGAGACTGTGCATCGCTGTATCATCAAAATTAGATTTGAACTCACCCTGAAAATGTTAAAGGATGCCTCCCTCAATATACCGGAGTTGTAAAACTGGTCTGTTAGAACGCTGCGAAACGCCTTCATTTCCGCTTAATACCCTGAGGTTCACCGCGAAGTTAGTTTAGTTGCGTAACCTAACGTAACCTAACTTAGCTTGATACTCTTCACCGCCCACTATTTTTGCCGTAAAAAAATATATTAAACGGCAAATCTGATTTTAAGTCTTGCTTAAACATCATAAGACCCCTCAAAAAATAGTTCTCCGTTACAGCGATGCCAAGTTGACAATTTAGAAATGAAATGTTAAAAAGAAATCAATAAAGTAATTGAATTGCGCTTCACTAGCTAAAATCTTCAAAAACATCCGTGCGTATGATGTAATAGTGAGTTTAAGCCTATCCAGTACATTCCAAGTGTTGTTACAATTCTAAATTTTTTAAATATTATTCTCATTTCTTTGCTGGTGCACGCCGATGACCGATTTTTAAAAATAAAGAAAAAAACCGATCGAATCCTTCGATCAATCAACATGAAGGTAGAGTAGGGGTCGTGAAGCCCCCCATCCCCCTCCAAATGCTCAGATTTCCTCCCCTCCTCCACGTTCCTGAAGAGTGATGGTCAAATCTTTATAAATAAAACTGTAAGGGTCGCAATCTTGTGATCCTAAATTCTGAGAAACCGCCGGGCCCATTTCCTTGAAATTTGTTAAAAAAGAAAGCTGTTAATGTCCAGATTATGCGAAAAATCCGACATTTCGAATATCCGCTCTTGAAAGTTTTCCCGGAGCTGAGCCAGCCATAATCACTCGCAAAGCGAGTGATTGGGGGTTCATGGGACTCCGCCCCCTGGATATAGGTGCGGAGGCGAGCGAA